CTTGCTTTTTAAATAGCATTGGTACTTTCAAGACGCTCTTACAAAGTGCTACTGTACTCCAGATTGAGTTCGTTTTTAAACCACGAGGCAAAGGTCTCCTCTCCATTTCATGACTGCAGACTTATGTTCTTTGGATGTTTACATGTGTTGACATATTTGAGTTTTACACGGTCAGAGTGCTGTTCGCAGGCATCAGCCAAGCTACCCTTTCTCATCCAGTCATGCTCGCTGAGTAGTCCCCTGTGACATGTAGAAGCAGATTGGGTGAGAAAAAAAATTAAAAGAAAAATCAGAAGTTTTCTGTAACTCTTACAAAAATATCTGTCACTTCCCTTATGAATAGAAACTTCAGAGAAAAGGGAAAAATGATGTCTAAGTAAGAATTTCTAACAAGTGAGAAAAGAATCATTGACGTTCCTGAAACTATATCTTGTTGAATATTTTATCTCTTTCCTCAGAGGCTGGATCCCCATCTTCTCTAGGTAGATGGTTTCCTTCAGAAGTTTCTTTGTCTGTCTTGTTTTTGTGTTTTATAATCCCTCTGAGCATTCTTTACAGCAAGTGAACTGAGTTATGATCCCTCCAGCAAGTGTCTCATATAAGTCTTTATTTTGCATGCTTATTTTTTTTATTTGGAAGGATCAATACATGAAATTATGTCATTTCTGTTCATCGGTCAAAAGTAACAAATAGAAATGAATTCACGATTTAATATTGAAATACGCTACTTTCAAATATTATGGAAGGGACAATTTTGATATTTTTCCATAAGCAGTACTAATGATGCCCATGAAACTTTAAATTTTGTGAGTTGAAATGAGATAATTCATTTACTTATGATAATGTTTGTTATCTTAAATTAAAATAATTCTTATTTTACATTTAAGACTCATTCTATATCAAACCTGTAGCCTTTTGATAGTTGAAATTTTCTACCTAACAAACAGCAAAAATTCTAGTATTTTTATAGAAAAAAACCCACTTGGCTGTCAGTTGCAGTAAATTGTAAACTCAGTTATTTTGCTTCTGGGTAGACAAGGTTTCTGATAATCTAGAAGTGAGGTGGATAGTCCTGAACTCATGAAGGTTCCGCTTTTAATTTTTGACTTTAGAAGAACAAAAGCAACATGCATTCAGTTGAAACTCTACTGAATCATGTTGGTCTCTTCCATGACCAGCAACATGAGCTATATGTTGTGGGTTTTTTTTTTTGAGATTAGAATATAATTACAACATTTCCAAATTTCCCTTTTTTTTTATCCCCTCATGTATATCTCTCCCTGCTCTGGCTAGATGGATGAAGCAACACACAAATACGATACAGAGTCACTGCTCAATCAACATAACTGATTGTGAATAGAGCATGCCTGTTTCTGTGATCTAGGGTATAGGCAATGAAATAAACGAGTCATCTAATCACTTTGGTATTTACTTTTTAGTGAGGAATACAAAAATATGAAACTATAAATTATAAAGTTTTATAGCACAACAGAGAATTATTTTAGGGAAAGCAATAGAAGAGAAAGATATTTGTAATTTTAGATAAGGTAACTCAAGAGAAAAGAAAGAAAAGAAACCCAAGCATTGAGAAGGAGGCATGTGAATGAAAGATGACATGCAAGCCTCATGAATTTCTTCTGAAAGAGGACTGAGGTTGCAGGCAAATAAAACTGGAATCTTGGGGTTGGAATGTAGTTGACATTTCACATAACAAACCAGAACAGGCCAACAAAGCTGGAACAAACTGAATAAGGAGAGTAAGAAGTCAAATAGGGCACAGCTTTCTTTTCTTCCTCCTCCTTCTTTTCCTCCTCCTCCTTCTGATTTTATTTTATAGATAGGTGTTTTGCCAGTATGCATGTCAGTATAACCTGTGTATTTCTGGGACCCACAGATTCCAGAAGAGTGTTTCAAATCCCCTGGAACTTGAGTTACAAATGGTTGTGAATTGCCTTGTGAATGCTGAGAATTGAACCCAGGTCTTCCAGAAAAGTAGCTAGTGCTCTTAATCCCTAAGCAATCAATCCCTTCAGACCCAATGGTTTAGTTCTTACAGCACTCCATAATCCTTAGAAGGACTTTTAACTTACCTTCATCTTTATTTAGATAAGAAATGATAGAAGCTGGATCAGATGAGTTCCAGATTTCTTCTCTCTCTGTCCTGAGTGCCACCTCTCTTTCTCTGGCTATCTTTCTTTCTCTCCTTTCCTTTTTACAAATACACACACACACACACACACACACACGCAAGCACACACATACACACACACACACACATGCATGCACACACACATACACACAGAGAGAGAGAGAAAGAGAGAGAGAGAGAGAGAGAGAGAGAGAGTGAGTCATAAAGACAGAGACAAAAAAAGAGACAGAAATAGACACAGACACACAACATAATTTTGCTATTTAACTCAGGCTAGCTTCTAAGTTGAAATTCCTCTGCTTCTAAGTCTTAGGCATTTGGTCTCAAAAGAATGAGAATCAAATGGCTCAAAAACAAATATTTATAGAGAATTTTATGTATCGTACTATTTATGTGCATATTTTGTAATTTGGGATATGATGCTAACAGGATGGAAGCTTCAGGATTTGAAGTCTTTGTTACAAACGACTGAGTGCTCACAAGCACCACACATCAGAAGTCAAATGCTTGTTTATCACTCTGTAATATTATGTTATTACTTTTATTTCACTAACTTGAAGGAAGTTCTTTTAATTTTATTTTTAATTGCACACACACAGGTACACATTCACATACATGTACACCTACACATATACATATATATTTGAGCACTACCTCCTTGAAATTTGGTCATGGCAAACTTAAAAACAAGGCTTTTTATATGCTTATGCTCACATCTTTTAGAATTATTTATTGTCTGCTGTCTCTTTCTTTTTATCATACTGATAATATTTAAATTTTGAGTTTGATCACAAGGGTGTTTTATCCTAGTATCATATACATGTTGATGATGGCCGTTAATGTTTTCCCAGATAGACAACACTAAGGACAAGTTAATCACCAGGTTTTATTGTTCTATGCCTTGAGTCTTATGTACTTTGGTTGCTGACATTTTGAAATCTGGTATGCTTTTCTCAACAACTCTGCATGGGGCTTGTGAAGGGTCTACAGAGGCAATAAGTAAATACATTTCTAATAATACAACCACCCAGGCAAACAAAGGTGGGAGGTTTTACTTTCCTCTTCTATTTTTCTTTAGTGCTTTAGGTCTTTAGGATACACTTGAGAAAGTATTGTTCCTGCCATTTTCCTATCACGGGAGACTGCTGTGCTGAACATCAGGACCTGTTACTCCAGCAGTTTCTTTCCTTTGAGGAAAATTAGAGAGCAAATAACTCTCTGTTCAGGGAACCAGTCAGCTCTGTCTACTCACAAACTACAAAGTCATTTAACTATCAGAGACCCAGGGCTGTTTTAGTAATATCTTCAGGAGAACAAAGCATTTTGAACAAAACTTCACCTGATTTTCTTTCATGATTTGTGATTTTCCTGGGAAACCGAGCCGACTTATGCAGGAATACTTCAAACCAATTTCACAGTCAGTTCTAGGGGAGGGCTTCATGAAATAAGACCCATGTAAGTACATCCGGCAAGGGGGAAGCGCTCTGATGCACGTGATTCAGATTCTGGGATAATGACTTGCTTTAAGGAAGTTGATCTTCATGCTTTTCACACTATCTAATCAAAGAATAAAATAAACAGGAAGGATGGAAACTAATATTAATCTTTTAATCTGGCTATTTTAAAGCAGAAGTTACTATGGAATTTTCATTGTAAAACATGTGTATGAAGAGCTGGAGAGATGGCTCAGTGGTTAAGAACACATATAGCTCTTGCAGAGGACCCAAGGTCTACTCCTAAAATCTATATTGGGTTCTTCACAACAGCCTATTACTCCAGTTCCAGAGGTATCTGATGTCTCTGGCATCATCTGTCACTGGTATTCATGTGTACTAAGAAAACTATGTGTATGATCTTCACAGACTGATCTCTGGCTACTCAAAATATACCATGTACATGATCAAGCTAATATCCTTGACATTTTTCCATAAGTGATTTACCATATAGGCCTTCTGCTGGTTGCTTTATTAAAGTTAGATTTTTGAGAACTATCTGTGAATCAGACTAATAATTTTCACTTGTTTAGAATCACTTAAGTTAAACTTGATTACTTTTACTTTGCTAGCAGGAATTAGGTGTGAATGGCTTTGAAAGAACCCAAGAAATAAGAATGTACTGGTCACGCAAAGACTATTCTTGACTTTGTTTTGCAACACAAATTACTTCTTTGACATGTTAGTATGAACTCTAAAGCAATCCAGTATGAATATAAGTCCTGTGGATATCCTCAATACCTGAGAACTTTCCATTAAATGTGTGGTACAGATGAAATACGTAGCTACTTGTGAGAATCAACTAAAGATTTTTATTCAGATGCATACGTCTATGAAGTCAATTTGAAAATTATGATGAATCATTTACAGTACAAGGAGTTATACATTTCTTATACATTTGAAAGTCTGTTGATGATTCAAAACAAAACAAGCTGAAGCACTAATTTCTTAAATGTGTATCTTATAGTTTTGAGAGTATTTTACAACAGGAACTGATTTTTTAAAAAAAAAGTATAAAAAAATAATGTGGGTTAACAACTACAGTTTGACCTTGAAGTCTTTAGCCAGAGTCACATTGATCTCCTTCATTTATTTATATCTTGGAAATATATGTACTATAAACGAAGCCAATGAATTTCATTGACACTCCCAGATCTCCATGTGCTTTACTTCTTAGCAAAAACAAGACAATGTTTTAACTATGGAATAGAAAACCCAATGTGATTCAGTTTTCACGTTTGTTGTATGGGCGTTTGTTGTATGGGGAATATTTAGTGTTCTGGAATCATGCTTCCTGAATCCAGAATCAATTACCATTCACATACAAAGGCAACTTACGGTCTCTTTTGTTTCTCCAGCACAGCGATGCAGTCCACGATCTTCTTCTGGATGTGATCACGTGGGTTGGAATCTTGTTGTCTCTTGTTTGTCTCCTGATTTGCATCTTCACATTCTGCTTCTTCCGTGGGCTCCAGAGTGACCGTAACACCATTCACAAGAACCTCTGCATCAGCCTGTTCGTGGCAGAACTGCTCTTCCTGATTGGAATCAACAGAACCGACCAACCAGTAAGCTATACTGCTGTCACCTAAGGCTACCCACAATTTTAGCTCTGTAGGACTATGTCCTCTGGGAAAGAACATGCAGGGAAGGGCCCTTCCATTTTGTTTAGTCCACAGACAGTGGTTTTTCACAACCTCCTCTGCTTCTCATTTTTCAAGTCCATGGCCATTAAGAAACAGTGAACTTTACAGATGGGGTGCACATTTCCTTTTATTACTTTATTACAGCAGGCACTGGGTGTTCATACAGTACAGTGATTGTCCATGTAACTCATGTTTGCACATGTGAATAGTGAATAGCATCCCCTGTAACCCACATCTCCTACCTGAGTGATACCTTTGTGAATACTGATGAAGGCTTATTGACACATCTTTATTATTGTAAGTCCATGGTTCATAGTTTACATAAGAATTCACTGGGTATTCTGTAGACACACACACATACACATATTCCCTCTTATGGCATAAGCAGTATCTTTCACTGCCTTGAAATTTTTCTGTATTTCTTCTGTATTTCACTGTATCTCCTTTAGCCATGACATTCAATTGTTCTTATATTCTCTAATAGCTTTTCCTAATATTTTTGGGATCATATACTATACAAATTTATTACACTGGTTCTTTTCTCACATATCATTTTATGACCAAATAGCTCTTTTTGTTTTCTTTAGCACAGAATAATATCTACCCTTGCTGACATCCTACAGTTTTATATGGGTTATCCTGCCGAAGTGCATTTTGTTTTTGACAATTGTCAATGAAGCTGCTATCAACATTTCAATGCATTGTGGCTTTTGTTGTTGTTGTTTTGTTTGTCTTTTTTTTTCCTGGTATAATCATTCAGGTCCATTAAGTACATAGCTAGTGGGTTCTGTAGTAAGGTATGCGTATTTGGGGGAGAACATTGCCAAACTCTTTCCAAAAGTATCCTTGCTATTTTGCTCTCACAGCATCAACGAATGAGCCATACATTGGTTTAGACATTTATAAATTCTCATGACTAGACCCTCAAAAGAGAGGAAAACTTTACTTTGTAGCTTTCAAAGTACTTGTGGGAATGATAATTCACTCACTTAATGCTGATATCCAGTATGCATTCATATGCATGATGTACTGTAGAATAGAATGCAGTTTTCAAGTCTATGATTATGTCTTTATGATTAATGACTGCAAAGGATACAATTATGGTGAGTATATTTTTAATTGGTTAGCATATACCTAATGTAATAGCTTTCCCCATAAATGCATACATATGAATAAGCAATCAAAGAACACATTTTCCTCCTCAAGCTAAAGCCTTATGATTACAAAAAATTTATAGTTGAAATTCTAACCTTAAAATCCTCAAATGAACAACTGTGCTATTTTTGAGGAAAATATCCTATTCTTTAGTTAATCCCTAATTAAAATACTGATAGTTTCTTTCATGGAGAATAATATTTGAATTTTAATTCCATGATGTTAATATGTATGATAAACTTCACTAGGCAGTGGATACTGCCCAAAACCAGTCTCTGGTGAGCAACATAAAGATAGAGACTGATACAAAAAAAGCAGGATTTATGTTACTTAATTAAGTATCTTTCTTTTCTTACTAGTCAGGTGTTCCTTGTGTGTGTGTGTGTGTGTGTGTGTGTGTGTGTTCATTCCACATTATATTTGGAACCTTATTTCTTTTTCATTTATAATTGAAGATATTGAGAAGACTGTAAGCTCAGTGACAAAGCTCATGTCTAGCCCCTTCAGTTGCTAACACTGCAAACAAAAATTATAAAAAATAGAACCGGACATGTTAATCCATGTTCAGAAGAAACATTTACAAAAAAAATCAGTTTAAACATCATCCTCTTTTTCTTTGTGTCTTTATTTTTGTTCCTTTCTTATTTTCTTCCTTAAAAAAAAAATTGAATCAGATTTGTACCTTCTAGTTAGGCTACTTTCATTCTACTGTCTCAGTCTACCAAACAAGGGGGTTATGGCTACTTACACAATCACTTTCAAATTTAAAGATTTAAAAATCTTTAAATGTTAACACTAAAGATTTAAAAACTCGAGCCTAATCTCAGTGGTAATTATCTTTGGGCTCTTAATAGATTTTTTCCCCCATAATTGCTATGATTTTCCTTGTTTTAATATGGTGTCAGTCATAAGCTGCAATTAAGATAAAAGGCAGTTCAAGTAGGTAATATTTAATTCATTTTCTTGTTTATACTCCCAAGGGTCTTATCCAGATTATCCTACTGCAGACCTATTTTATAATCGCTGCGTTGATAGCCACTCATGTTAGTTTTGTGTTGGACAATAGATGAACAGGTTGGTTCTGAAACTAAGTCTGGGTTCCTTTCTCTAGATTGCTTGTGCAGTGTTCGCGGCTCTTTTGCATTTCTTCTTCTTGGCGGCCTTCACCTGGATGTTTCTAGAAGGGGTGCAGCTGTATATCATGCTGGTGGAGGTCTTTGAGAGTGAGCATTCCCGTAGGAAGTACTTTTATCTGGTTGGCTATGGGATGCCCGCACTCATCGTGGCCGTTTCTGCTGCTGTCGACTACAGGAGCTACGGAACAGACAAAGTGTGAGTTGCATGTTTGCTGCCTTCTTTCTCTTCCCCTTCTCAGATCTACTCAAAGTGAAAGCTTTGGAGTCCCTTGGAACTATCGAAGCAACTGAGAGTATAATTAAATGTATGGGTTGGTATTTTCTGTGAGGTTAAAAATTTTTTTTTGAAACTGTGATGCCATTTTAGAACAGCATAATGTTTCTAGATCACAGCCTCGAGTAACTGTGTGATAATTTCATGTTATTTTTTTCCAGAGCATTTAGACATTTCACACCAAAGGAAAACTGTTCTCAGACCACAGAGTCTCTGTTGGCATTGTTTGCCTCTATTCAATGATGTCAGTGCTAGTCCCAGATGAGTTTATATAGTGACAGGAAACCTGAAGGAGCAGGAGAAGGAGTAGTAAATCTAATTCCTCCAGTGGCAAATCCTGGCGGATCCGCCATGAAACCGGAAGACACTCGCAGCTACAGCTTGCCCTTATGCTATCCCTGATCCAAAAGCCTCTAACGCGTTCCTCCTCCTTCTCTCTCATCATCCAACCCGGAAGTCCCTCCTACTCGTCCAGTGATTGGCTCCTTTGTTCATTAGGGAATTGGTTCCTTAAGAAGTCACTTAAGTATGACTCACTCCTTATCCACAAACCCTCACAAGATAGCAGAATTAGCATTAAAATTCAAACAGCACTAAGCCCATCCACAACAGATTTCTGAGCTGGAGGTCAGCCAGGTGAGGCTACACAGAGAAGCACAGTCTAACAAACACAGAGGGAGGGGGAAACAGGAAGGGGAAAGAAAATGAAAAAGAAGAAAGTATTAGAGCTGAAGAGATGGCTCCAAGAGTTAAAAGCATTGGTCCTCTTTTTTTCAAGGACCCAGATTTAATTCCCAGCACATACTTGATGACTCACAACTGTCTGGAGTATCAGTTCCAGGGCATCTGGCACCCTCACGCATGCAGACACACCATCACCTAAAAATAAGTAGTTTTTAAAATAAAGAAAGTCATTCAGTTCAAAGTGCTTTCATGTCAACAGAGATCCCAAACAATGAATGACAATTTCAATTGAAGAAACGGCTACATTATGGGGTACACTGAGGAAGGAGAATAAATGCAGAGAAGAAGAATAAGCAGAACCATAGAAACAGAACCTTGGGACTGTAGGTCACGGAAAGTAAGAGAAGGTTTCATCTTAGCCTTTCAGAACCAGTGGTGATTAATGTCAAAGATAATTCAAATAGGTTATCAAGACAGGAAGTCACTTGACCTTTGCAACAGCTATCTCATGACAGTGCTAGAAGCACCAGCCAAATTGGGAGATGTGAAAAAATAAGTTATCAGAGGCTTCAGACAGTATCTATACCCTGAAGTATATTTGCTGAAATTATTGGCTTATGTGATGAAAGTAATGGAGGAAGTTTGAAATGATGTCACATGAGCTGGAGAGGCTCCATTTCTGTGTCAGAGTGCTTGACTGGCATCCAGAGCAAAACAATACAAAATAAAACAAACAAACAAAATAGATATACAGGAGGAATTTGTGAAGGATGAAGTCGTAGGAATGTATAGGCTGAGAAGAATCCAGTTGACAGGAAATTAATGGAGAGAAAAGTGGTTATTGTTTGAATTTGTATTCAGTGTATATAGGCTATTCAGGAAAGGAAATGTCCCAGGATAATTTAAGAAAGATATAAAACTAAACACAACATTAGAAAGACCTTGTGTGGATGCTTCGATCTTTCTTAAAAGGAGTAACAAAATACTCAAGGGAGCAAATATGGAGACAAAAAGTGGGACAGAAACTGAAGGAGGGGCTGTCTGGAGACCATTCCACCTGGGTATCCATCCCATGTGCAGTCACCAAAGGTAGACGCTGATGTGGATGTCAGGAAGTGCATGCTTACAGGAGCTTGGTATAGCTGTCTCCTTAGAGGTCTGCCAGAGCCTGACATATTCAGAGGCAGATGCTCACAGCTAACCATTGAACTGATCATTGGGTTCCCAATGGAGTTAGAAGACTGAAGGAGCTGAAAGGGTTTGCAGCCCCATGAGGAGAGGAACAATACCAACCAACCAGAGCTCCTAGGGTCTAAACCACCAGCCTGGGTTCACACAGGGAGGGATCCATGGCTCCAGCTGTAGATGTAGGGGAGGATGGCCTTGTCAGGAGAGGAAGTCCCTGAATAGCCTTGTCAAGGAGAGGAATCCTTGGTCCCATGAAGGCTGGACACTGAATGTGGGGGCATTCGAGAGTGGAGAGGTGGGAGTGGGGCTGTAGGTGAGGGGACATCCTCCTAGAAGCAGGAGGAGGGGGGATAGGATAGGGGATTCCTGGGTGGGGGGGGATGGGGTAAGGGGATGACATCTGAAATGTAAATAAAATATCCAATAATAATAAAAAAAGAAAGACCTTAACTGAACGTGTTGAAAGTAGCTTTAGAATTCACCATGCCTGTGGTATAAATTTTGTAGATGAGAAAAATCAAGCACATTCATCCTGACTTGTCTATCATTATAGAGATGGGTGTAAACAAACCCTTGATAATCTATCAGGTTTACTTCAAATGCAGTTGGATTTCTTTTGGTGAAATAACCTTTGTCTTTGGAGGGAAATGAAGGAAGGAATGAGTAAGCTATGTTTCTAAGCATGGGACAGTTTTACCAGGCAAAGGATGCTGACTTCTGTGAGGTGAAGTGGAGAGGTCATTGTAAGAGGACTAGAGTTTTGAAGAGCTTTGAGACGAGGTCTATGGCAAAATGTGCGAAAGAGCCCGTTAGACGTTAATAAAAAGATTTTGAGGCAGTGGTGAAGTCTCAGAGAAGGTTAGATAACATCAATTTGTGTAGATGTTAATAAGCCAGATTTCACGGCTTTCCACCAGCTACCAGTGGCCTGAACATGCTGGCAATAAAGTAGCTTGCTTCCCAGAAATGGGGATTCATAAAGACGGAGTGACAGAAAGAAGTCATCAGGGCTAGGGAGAGTGTACTTAAAATAGAGCATGTGGTGCGCAGATGCCACTGATACAATTAAAAGGAGATGGTTCCATTTATGCTGTGTTCTTTTTAAATACCGGGACAGGATAGGTTATCTGTCTCGATGTGACAATTATTTTCACGTTGGATGTAAATTTCAGTCAAATCTGAATTCGTTCCGTTGGCCCCAATCACAGCCGTGGGACCAGACTACAATTAGCAAAACGCTTTATCCAACTTTGCTTCTAAAGATGTCTTAGGAGGGAGGGATTAGACTCATCATATGCTCTCTTTTCTTCTTCTCAAATAATGTCTTTATTGATATAGCTCACAAGCCATAACATACTCCTTTGAAGTATATATTTCAAGTGTTTTAATATGCTCTCAATGTTATATACTCATCTCCACGGATTTTAGAATATTTTCATCAACCCATAAAGAAGCCCATTAGCATTCCCTCCCCAGTCACAGAATTTTGCATTTTAATTAATTCACTCTCCCCCTAAGAAATTAAGCTGAGTTATATCACTTCGTGTGACCTTATAGAATTTCCAGTATTGTTCCTAAGCAGCTCCATCTCGCTCACTGGATGTCCTGCATTGCTTTTTGTTTTTGGTTCAATACTTATCTTTTCTCCTGAGTTATTTCTAAATTTTCCCCTTACTGGACTGAGTCAACTTGTTTCCTTTGTGTCTTGGTCATTCATTTTGAAACAGATGTCATTTTTCTGGATAGTAGAAATCTGTCTTCTTAGAATCAATAATACACAGTCCCTGGTGACTTGGTTAAAGCCTTGGCCGTCATTATTTTAATTTCCTGCCCCACGACTGGTAGGTCTCATTTAATGACATTATTACTCTGTGGGAATAGAGGGTAATTTACTTCCCAGGCATGATTCTAAACAATTGTTAAATGCTCAGTTATACAATTATGATTTTTCCCAAGCTAAAGCAAAGCAAAACAGAGATAGATGACAGAAGATAAGTAAAAGAGGAAAGGAAAAACAGAGAAAATTCCAGTCAAATTCCATCACAGATGGGAATGTAGCATTTTATTGTCTATTTTAGATATATAAAACCTGTTCACAAAGTTGACTCAAGGATCTATGGGGAAGATATATTTAACTTCTACTTTGGGGAGCTCATTGAACCACTGGAGCCTAGGATTGTTTTGTTCTTTAAGGATGCAAGTTTGAAAAGGAGCTATTATTTTAGTGATAGGGAAATGTGTCATATTTCCATTTGGACTTAATTAAGATATCTTCTTAAATAAAATTAAAACCAATGAATTTAATGAATTAATTTTGTGTGTGGTTCTGGGGATTGAACTTGGCTTGCTGCATATGAAGCAACCACACTATCACTGAGCTATATTCCCAGGCAAGGCATTGAATTTGATTCAATTTGTAGTATTTCTGCCTTCTATAACTTGGTATTTATTGTCTCCTGTCTTCCCAGTTCCTGTAATTGTTGTTCACTGCTTTTATTTTATACCAGATAAATAAATTTTATTTATTCCATCTGACTATTCACAGAATTGCTAACTATATGACTTTTCTCTTTATCGTGGAATGTTGCAGCAAAACAAAATTTTGGAAATTACCAGAAAGACTTCACTTAAGAAATGCTTATAAGGGCTGGAGAGGTGGCTCAGAAGTTTAGAGCACTAGCTATTCTTCCAGAGGATTCAGGTTCAATTCCCAGAATCCACATGGCTGCTCACAACTGTCTGTAGCTCAAGTTCTAGTGGATCCAACTCCATCACACAGACATATTTGAAGGTCAAACACAAATGTACATTAAAATAAAAATAAATAAATTAAAAAAGTAATGCCTATATCTATTCATATAACTGAACAAGATACTAAAAATATTCTAATTTTCATGTACCTCTAAAGGTTTAGGATACACTCACTGATTTCTAAAAACAAAAAAGTCCAGTTTCTTAGGGGGAAAGTGCATTAATTAAAATGAAAATTCTGTAACTCAGGGGTAGGGATTGCTAATGGGCTTGTTTATGGGTTGATGAAAATATTCTAA